CACTACCCCAAAGAAAACACTCAAATTACTAAAATCAAGAAAGACCAATATGTTCCAATTTCTCCATTTCCTTTTTGAAATCAACCATTGCTTCTTCTTGCAAATACACCAAAACATTGAATCCAATTTTTTCCCCTTCATTAGTAGAAGAATAAGGCAAGAAAAAACAAGGCTCAATACTCCCAACTAAGTGCCTTGAAAGTGGAAAAACAGTCACTGGACCACCCCATCCAAAATCAACAGTTGCATGTCCCAAATGTCTCCAATCAGTGAAACCACTCACCCTATTACCTGCAGAGACGGATTCAAAATTTAGTTAACAGATTTAACTGAATTCAGCATTTCATCAACCGATTTAAATATCACTTGATTCAAAATTTATTTGTGAATGTACATTAATCGAAGGTTAAATTACTTAGTCAGATATTACAAGGACTAAAATACAATTTTATTAATATTAGAGGGACTAAAAGTGCAAATTCTCCTTTCAACAAATATTAAAATTTCAAAAAGTACGATGAGTTCAGTGCTAAGCATTACCTATCGTGATCCCTTCATGGTAATGCAACTCCTGGAAATCGATGAACGATCTTACGTATTCATCGGTGGTGTTGAATTTACTCTTCTTGATTGAATCTGCAGTTTTTGACAATGGTTGATTCACAAGTTCTTGTGCAAGAAATTGAACATACATTGGGACACATCCATTTCCCCAATAGCCAAAGGGCAATTTTGGTATTATTATTCTTCTTATATTTGTTGCATATGCAAATTTCACTTTTTCTTCACTTGGAATTTTACTAGCCTTCACCCTGTATTCACATCGATCTTATATTAGATCTTTCTATAATACTGATTACTTTATTTGACAATATTTTATTATAACAAGTAAAAAAAATTCAATTTGATATATTTTTGTGTACCTTTCTAGAATATATATATATATATATATAAAATTAATTTTTAAAAGTCAAGATTATATATACCTTGCTCTCCATATAAAAGCTCCCAATGCTTCAAAAGTAGTATAATTTGAACCGGATTGTTCATGTAAAAAACCCTTAAGCCGGTTCAACCACTCATCCTTCACCTTAAAACACTCTCGAATCGCTGGTTTACTCGGTTCGATATAAGGCAAAGAGTTTTTATCCAAACTAAGGAACTCATGAAATGGGAACTCGACTCGGGGTGGGTTCCTCGGTCCGAGTAAACTTGATCGGTTCCAGACCGGTTCGAATTTGACCCGACCCGACCCACGAGCTAGCTCCGCCATTGTATTGAAAAAAAGGGTTGCCCCGAGTCCATCACATAACGAGTGATGGATCGCGGCTCCAAGAACCCACCCGCCACACTTGAACCGGGTCACTTGGAGAATAAAGGGTCGGGTCAAAGCATCTTCCCCTTTTGGGTCGGGTACCAATTTTTCGATGAAATTCACATCATGGTAATCATCAAGGTAGTTAATTCCACTCAAGGTACAATCCACCACGGCACGTGTCACGGGGACCCCACTGCCAGCATGGCAGTGGAGCTCCAAGCGTTCGTCTTCACGACGAACGAGGATACCCGTATAGTGGTAGTAGTGGACAAGGGCGGATGAGAGAGAAGATGTGACAACTTGAAATGGGTCGGGTCGTTCTATGGGTCGGGTTTCTGGGTCGTTGACATAGACCCGGAGGTATCGAAATGTGACATGAAGGTTTATGTCCGTGTCTAGGTGGGATAGAGAGAGGACGTGGTCGTCAGTGAAAGGAGGCGTTGACGGGTGAATTACGGTTGTTTCCTCAATTTTTACGTCCATTTTCGCGGCGGTAGACGGAGGAGATAATGGTGGTGGTGGGTGAATAATGGACTTATAGAACACTTCTTGTTTATATAGTTTGAAAAATTGGTAGGTAGCAAAAAAGTTGAATGAAACATGTTGATGCTTTTTTTTATTTTTTTTATTTTGGTGGGAAAGGGGTGGTTAATGGCTCTTTATTTTTTGAATTATTATATTTTGACTGATCATTAACTTGAACTTTTAAAATTGATTTATAAATAGTTAACTATAATCTCAGTTAAAAATACATAAAACTTGAAATCTTGAATCTGTTTCTGCGCTAATATATGTCATGCCACTTCACTTGTTTCTTTCTTGCTGTTGTACCACTCATTGTTTGGTGGGATAAATATTCCATTATACATACCAGTAAAACTTGACTTTGACATTAATTGAACATTTAATGAAACTACGAACTTAATTAAGTGTGTGACTTAGTGATTAATAATCAAGTAAATTGAGAATTATAATATCATGTCATGTATGAGACTTCCCAGTGTTGTTACAAAAGAAATATGTTTTTCGAGACTCAACATTCTTATTAAGATTTGTCAACATCATTAAGTTCTTCACTTTTATCAACCAGTCGTCTATGGTACAATATGCATCCCTTCTTCAGAAACTTGTCATCCCTTCATTGAACATTACTTGTCTGATTTGAAAATCAAGAAATAATCTATCATTTGATCGAAAAGTGGCTAGTACTTAATCCCATGAATTATTATTATTAGACTCTTTCACATGTATGTTTTTTTTAATACTTTTCCAATAGTGCCAAAAGAAAGAAAAGAAGGGGTCAAATTACAATTTCATGAAAATATAGGACTTCAATATCTTTTATTATTACATTAAAGATTTTAAGCAATAATTGGAGACAAGTCAACATCAAATCTTCAACTCAAATTAAGAAACAAATCACATTTTACATGTTCCAACTACTTTACACTAAGCAAACACATCATAAATTAATACATATATCAAACTAACATTTTTATTTTATTTTATATCAAGAAGAAAATCTTCAAAGGGCCAAGCTGGTGCACAGTTCGAAACTCGATGGATTAAAAAATGTCATCACCAACCTTGTCTTGAGAACTATGAAAACCAAACCACATCTTGGTTTTACATAGCTCCATGAAGAAGTACCAACCATAACATAAACTAGAAAACAAGACGGAACGAAGCACATCACCACCAACCCTAGCATAGACAATGGCACTTGGTACGACCTCTTAGCGTTAGGCATTTCCTCTTCAACACCAAAAACAACGCGAACTCTAGCATCATTCTGAACTATACAAGAAATTCACAAACAACGCGATGTTTGCAAATGTCAAGAAGGATACAACCAATGCTGTACAAGAATTCCAATCCAAGGTGTGTTCAAAGAATCACACTACTCGTGTTCCCAATACTTTACAATACGAAAAAAGACATGAGAAATGATAAATAAATCAAACTTACAATTCTTTATTTTATATCAAGAAATCCTCGAGGGCCAACTGGTGCATAGTTTGAAACTCGGTGGATCAAAATATCTCATCATCAACTTTGTCTTGATCAACAGTTTCAAAATCAAACCACATCTTGGTTTTACAAAACTCCATGAAGAAGTACCAAGCAATGGCGAAAACAGTGAGCAAGGCACTGACTATATACACGGTCCTATGAGCAACAAACATAACATAAACCAGAAAACAAGACGGAATGAAGCACATCACCAACAGTCCTGGCATTGACAATGGCACTCGATACGGCCTCTTAGCTTTAGGCATTTTCCTCCTCAACCACAAAAACGATGCAAACTCTAGCAGCATCCCGAGACTGTACAAGAAATTCACAGATGACACGATGTCTGTGAATGTCATGTAGGACAAAGCCAATGCTACTAGTGTTGGTACAAGAATCCCAACCCAAGGTGTATTGAACCATTCTGATCTTACACCGAAAACCCGAGGCAACAACCCCATCTCAGCCATTCCAAGAATTTGGTAAGCACAACTACTCAACTGAGCCTCATACAAACCAATCACAGACAGAACAATCCCAAGTTCCATCCAATACTTCAACCAATTTCCAGCAATCATAGAAGCCAAATTAGCAAAATAACCATCAATCCACTCACCCTGTTCCAAAGGGACAGCACCACTAGTACCCAAAAGCGGCAACACGTAACTAATACATGTAACAATCCCAGCTGAAAAAAGTGCTTTAGGAAATGTCTTTTGAGGTTGTTCAACTTCACCAGCTAAAGTACTAGCATTATCCCAAAAATTCAAGTTCCAAAAAAGGGTATTAAAGAACAAGTTCCAATCTTTTTTAACACCCTTTTGGCCTAAACTCAACCATCTACTAGGATCAATCTTTGGAATTGAAAACAATGTAATTAACCAAAAGGGGCAAAGGGAAAGCACACCAAGAACAACAGCAGTGTAACCAACTATAGACAAACCTAAGTAATTCAAGAAAGATAAGAACATAGATATGAAGAAAATAGCAATATACCTAGGTAAACCAGAATCAAGAATTGGGTAAATCAATTTAATATAATCTAAACAAAGAACAGGGTAAGAAGCTAAGTTACAAACAGCACTAAGTAATTTCCAAGAACCCATTAAAGAACCCCAAAAGGGTCCAAAAGCTTTATCAGCCCAAATAACAAAACCCCCATTACCTGGGAAAGTAGTAGCAAGTTCAGCAGTTACAAGAGCTTCAGGGACACTCCAAATAAATGGGAAAATCAGAAATCCAAGAATTGCAAGAAGAGGTCCAGCTGCCCCAATTGCTGCTTCTGCACCATAAGGGCCACCAGATACCTCAAAAAAGATGATGAAAATAAGTGGTATAAGAGCTAATTTCTTGGAGTTTTTGGTGGGGGTGGGGATGGGGGTAGGGGTGAGGGTAGTGGATTGTTCTTCATTTTCAAGAAGGTGTTGAGATGAAGAAGGAATTTCAGAAGCTTTCATGGTGTAATTGCAAAGAAAATGAGGGAAAAAAACTTTCTTTTTTTTCCTCTTTTCAAAGATGACTTTTTTTTTGTTTTGAAGATCTTAGATGCAAATTTTGGTTACATTTATTATTGTGATCCAAAAATTTCTCATGTTTTTTTTCTTCTTCTATTGTTTACTTAATTTTAATGTTCCAATTTTAACAATAGAATTGTCTTCGATAGAAAATACGGTCTTTTATTATTACAAGCATTTTTCTTTCTAGCCAAATAATGTATAATATACCTCTTATGATTTCTAATAAAGTAGTCAAAATCTCTTGTCCAACTAAGATAATATCAATTCCTCACTGGAATCAGCCTCTTCACCTACCAGAGTACGACTCTTAATAAGGTTGATAGATTTGGGCTTTTTTTAGTCTCTCAACTTCTCAAAGCCATAGATTCAATAGTGTTTTCTTAAATGAGACCTTTCATATGAATTTGGATTAATGATTCGTAAAGAGAATATTGAAGAAATAAATTTAATACTACAAAAAATCTTTTTTTTTTCCAATCTCTCTTTAGTTATATTTTCCTAACTTCGGTGTCCAAACTAATAACTTCACGGACAAGGCTCCTCTCCGATCTCTCTAGTTTCCCACTATGCTATCCTATATAATTGACATGTGTCAATTTGATTTTTTAATGGACCAGATTAATTTCTTGACCAAATACCATTAACTATGGTTATTACTAATTCTCTCTCCTTCCATTCCTTTCTCAATCATAAACACTTCATTCCATTCAAAAACTCTCTGAATAACAGAGCAATCAAACATCATTCGTGTAAATCAAACAACTGAAAATTAAAATTACATCAATAATGTTAAATTTGATTTTCCATTTACATATGAACAAATAAGGAGTCTAAAAAGAGAAAGATTGAAATGGAGTGAGTAGCCTCAATTAAAGATTACAGTTATAAATACCACAAGACAAGAAGAAACCTAAAAAATCCAATGGAGAATTTCACAAGAAAAAAAAAAGATATATGACAACACATTTTTCCACCCATTTTTCATGCCCTCTCCATGTCCTTTAGTTGGCCTTTGTAGAAACTCCAATTGAAAAAAATGATATTACAAAAAGACGGCGGAATTTTATCTATCACCATTGAAATCAAACCAAGCTTCAAAGTAGTCTCATTTGGTTGGACTTTTAAAATTTTATAACCCAAATACATCCTTTGAATGTAGTCTTATTTTATTATGGTGTGAAAATAATGGAAAGAAAAAACGATTTTGTTATTAGCATTCTTCATCTTTTTGCTAACAAAGCAAATTCTTTGCTGATTGAGAACAGGTTCTTGCAGAATTAAGCTTGAAAAGGAAAGAGAGGAGAGATGAGAGAGAAAGAAAATTACTAATGACCATGGTTAATAGTATTTAGTCAAGAAAATTAATCTGGTCCATTTAAACACGTGTCAATTGTATAGGGTAGCACTAGCACCGGAGAGGAGCCTCCTCCTAACTTCACTAATTTCTTAATATATCTCCTACCTCTCACTAATATAGATAACGAGCAACTTTGTCTAACAAAACTATAGTTGCTTTAGCTTGGGTCATTCAAATTTTCGATATTCCTTTTTATTTCTCATCAAACGAATGACATCTTCCTCTGAAAAATCCTAGCCATTAGACAAATCTCCCAACACACACACCCATTATACCCTTGAGAAAAGTACAAAAAGAAAGAAAAGAATCAATAAGGGGAAAACAAAAACCAAAATTAAGTAAATTCACACAGGCTCCATCACTATTGTGTAGTTCATTTGGTTGGAGCAAAGTTTAGCACAGGACACAGCCAAAAAGGGGAAACTTCTCCTCTTAGGAACATGTTGTTATTGCAGAATTGGGGCTACCCATCTGCTGTTTCTTCAAGTTTCTACAACAAACAAAACCCTTCAATTTACAACAACCAAACAACCAAAATCCTAGTATTTCCCTGTTTTGGAAAACATGGTAGATGTTTTTCTTCCTCTTCTATGACCTATAAACCTTTGCCTAAGTTGGTTTGTTTTCATGGGTTTGGTATAGAAGACATAACTGATGTTGTCCATAACAAGGTTAGTCACTCTATTTCATAGATTTGATAAAAAGTTGCAATCTTTTTTCAATTCTTGATGTTCTAAGGTTCTTTTGTGTAAAGATTGTGTTTTTATGAATCAATTGGGGTTAAGTTCAGTTGGGTTGCCATTGTTAGTGGTGATAGTTGGAGGGTCAGTTTCAGATAGATGATTAAATTAACTTACAATTTGTTTGAATGGTTGTTACTTATTGTATGTTAGTTTTTATAATGTGTGTGTAAACTTGTCAATTAGATTCCAAATTGATTGTTGTTGCCATTTGTCCAAAAGCCTTGGTGGATAGACTTTTCTCGTTACGTTACATGTGTTGGTGGGAGCTAGTAGGTACTAGTGGAATTAGTTGAGGTGTGTGCGAGCTGGTTCAAACACCACTGTTATTAAAACAAACAAAAAAAGAATCCCAAATTGGTTGGATATACACTATGTTGTAAAGTTGGTGTCTTTATGTATCAATTGAGCTAAAGTTCAGTTGGATTGTTATTGCTAATGGTGAGACATAATACTTCAATTTACAAGAACCCAACAAGCAAAATCCTAGTATTTCCCTGTCTTGGAAAACATGGTAGATATTTTTCTTACTCTTCTTTGACCTATAAACGTTTGCCTAAGTTGTTGTGTCTTCAATCTTCATGGGTTTGGAATAGAAGACTTTACTGATGTTATTCGTAACAAGGTTAGTCACTCCACTTCATAGCTTCTTAGGTTCCGATATCCATTATGTTTGGTGAAACTTGAAAGATGTCTCGTTTGGTTCTTGTTTCAGGCATTTCGCTAATTGGACTTAATGTTTATGTTACACAAAACAAAATAGTGCAAGATGTCCTTTTAGTCTTTGTTTTTGGATAATCAAGTTATGTTATCATAATACCACGCGATTAGCTCAGATGTCAAGCAGGAACTCTCCGTTGTTTCTCTCCAATTACTATGTTAGTAACTGTGTATGAGCTCTACTTATTTGGTACACTATTCCAGAAAATGGCTCAACGTCTCTCAAACTGAAACATCGATTTCATTAATATGTAGACGTTTGTCTCAGAAAATCACATTGTTGTATGATGGTATGCCTTTAAATGTTATTGATTTGCTTAAGCCGTCCCACAGGTTTTGGTTGCAGCAGCTGTATCTGCAGCGATTGGTCAGCTAATGAAGCCTTTTACTTCATCTCTATTTTATGGCAATGAGTTCAATTTCAAGACTGCCTTTCAGGCTGGGGGTTTCCCTTCCACACACTCATCTGTAAGATTTCATCTTTCTATCTTTGCGCAACCTTGTATAACTTCACCTATCATTTACACATCTGCTTCCTAAGCCAATGTTTTACGATAAACTAATCAACGCTTCAAAGTTCAATCCCAGATTAGTCTATGATAAAAGAAAATTTAGTTATTCACAAAGTAGCAGCTTTGTTGTCTTTTCTTTTCTGCTATGTTGCTCAGACTCTCCAACAGTGTTGCTGCACTCATGTCGGATCGATCCTTCAAAAATGCACTACTTTTGGAGGATCCAACACAGATCCAGCAGCACTTTTTAAGAGTCCGAGCAGCATACCATTTCTGTCGAGTGTCTCATTTAATTTCATCTACTTTCAAATGACAGGCAGTAGTCGCCACAGCCACTGCCCTTGGCTTGGAAAGGTATTTACTCCTTTTCTATTTTCCTCTAACAGAAGTTACGCGTGAATTAGAGCTTGGGAGAAAACATTGTAGTGTTGCAATTAGTTCTTTTTTCTTGGCTAGTTGCTGTTTTCTAGCTATGAGTGACATACTATTAGTGCGGTAACTGCAGGGGGTTTTCTGATTCGATTTTTGGTTTAGCAGTGGTTTACGCAGGCCTTGTGATGTATGATGCACAGGTATGTAACGAAACTTGAGTGTTTTCAGTCATTTCCCCAGTTAAACAGATGTGAACCAATTATATTTTCAAACAAAGGCTATACGAGTTGGGTTAAGTTTCTCTTTGTGCTATTATGTTGTTGAAAACATACTTAAAAACTATGTTGCTCGGACTCTAATAATAGGTACCATACCATCATATCTACCCCAGTATAGATTCGACCACATGTATCATCTGATTCTTGTAAGGTACATATGGTTCGTGCTATCTTTAAGTTTCTCGGATCACATCAGACTTGGCCTGGATCATCACGGGGATGATGCAAATCCAACTGCTCGAACATTTTGTTTCATTTCAGCTGCTAATCATGTTTAGACACTATCTTACATTCAAAACGTGAACCATATCCTTCACGCTTCACCAGATCGATGTTGCATCTGTGTGGATCCTTCAAAAATACACTATTTTGTAGGATACGACATGCACCTTGCGACATTTTTAAGAGTCCGAGCAACATAAGGTTCAATTTCAACTGAAAAATTGCATTGGTAAAAAAAAATTGTTCTTCCTTTTCCTTGCTTTATACACCTGGTTTGTCTCACCATCAACATGTTGCTTCTGTAGGGAGTCCGAAGGGAAGTAGGCATTCACGCAAAAGCGTTCAATAAAGCTTTGTTCAGAAATCAAATAAACTCAGTTCCGTCTACTAACGAACTTGATGTTTTGACGGATTCTATACAAGAGAAATTATCCTCTAATACAGAGAGCTTCGATCCTCAATTATCAGAGGAATCAAGTCCATTTCAACCAAGGTCAAAGAATGCTACTTTATTGCTTAAACCCGATGAGAGAAGAGTCTCATCGTCTAGTTTTGCTCCGTTGAAAGAACAGGTTGGTCATACAGAGGTTGAAGTCATAGCTGGTGCATTTCTCGGATTCTTTGTAAGCTTAGCGGTAAGTTTAGCATGACCCTTCAGTAGTCCTCATTGTTTACTTCGCCTTATTTTTTGGTCTATGAGATACCACAGAAAAACTGTATACAACATATTTACAATGCAAAATGCAACTAAAATCCTTCTATAAATTGAAATATCAAGAAAAAATTTACTAGCTTTGCCTTCATGAGACCTTTGTGTGTACAATTCTTGGGTGAATCATGCTTTTGTAACCTCATGTTGATCTTGATAGTAGCACTAGATGGACGGTTTGAATTGACTTCAGTACAGAAAGCACGATCCACTTATTGACTTACCTGGACGGGGTCAATGGGTGATCAAGAAGGCCTATGGCCTAGGCTAGTGAACTCCATTACACTTGGGAGGGGTGCTAGCTCAAGTGGTCGAGCCTACATCATAATTTTTGGTAGTGGGAGTCTGCATTCTCACAGCCCCTATTCGATACTGAATCTAGAAAAGACCACGTACGTATTTTCGCTCTTTTTGGATCATGCTCATGCTGGTGCTAGTCTTGGTACGTATAACCCGAAGAGTTAATGGTCAAAAATATACATGACCTATCATTTTTTGGGAGTTTCACCCTCCAACTATCGGTTGTTCTCTTTCTTTCTTTTTTGTCTAATCTATCAACATAAGTGCTACTAACTATTATAATAACTAGTATTAAATAATAAGTGGAGTCAGCGAAGGTGTAATAACCCTCTAGGTCATTTCTGTATTTATGTCTTCCGTTCGTCGTTTAGAGCATTCCTATAGCGACCCCAAATATTTTATGATTTGTTGGGACTGATAGTTCGGTCACTTAGTCGTTCGTTTGGTTGTTATGCGAATTTATGTATTTGTAAAAGTCTTGTACTCTTATTTTGATTAGATGCTCATTACTAACTGATGTCAGGTCTTGGTGATGTTGCATTTCTGTTAATTACCATTTTCTTCGCTTTGTAATAAGCTTCTTGCTTCTTATTGATGACTTCTGCTTGATAGTCTGTTGCTTATGGTTTCGGGCTATGAGTTAGGGTTACCTATTGATAGGATGTAGTAGGTGTCATCATGACCTGAGAAATCGAGTCGTGACAGAAGGATAGTGTGTAAGCAGATCTTTACCCTTACCTTGTGTGAGGTAAAGAGGTTGTTTCCAAAATACCATTGAGCAAGTAAAACAATTAAAAATAGGTTTGAAAAAGTTTAAGTAAATTACATTAATAGTGTGATCCCACAATTAGTTCTTTGGATTGTTTTTCCTTGAGTAAACTATTCTCTTTACCTCAAAGTTAGAGATAAATTTGTGTACACTCTGCCCTATCCAAACTCCATTTTATGAGATTATACTTGATATGTTATTGTTGTTGCAGTGTATATATGTTAAATCCTAAAGTATAAAATACAAAAGAAAATTGAAAATGAATATGACAAAGCAAAAACGTATTTTGCATTCAAATTCTTTGTGAACTAAACGTGTACATCTTTTCCATATATGAAGTCTACATCATGAAAAATCTTCACAAATCATAAGCTTTCCATACCAAAAAGCAAGGGAAAAACCATGCACCAAACTAACTAGAAAAGACACAAAAAAAAAATCCATCCCCACTTGTCTACCTATTAATTATTCAACATAATTATCATCATCAACCTTAGGGTTGAACTTTAGCCAACTTCTTTTGACTTACACAAAACTTCATCAAAAATACCATCCTATCCTTCAAATAGTCATCAATCAACTAAGTAAGTAGATGTGTGACATTCGCTAAAAAAGTGATAGTTCAAGAGTGTTTTTAATCATTTTCTTTTAATTCTGAGTACAAATTCAAAGATTAACTTATTAGATGAGATGTATGTAAGTTGCATACTTCAAAATCATTTACCGACAAAGATTGTGGTGATATTGTCATTTAACATGGCCTTACACAGCGCGAATTTGAATTAATTAAGAATTCAATACAAGTATCGGACACCAATGGAAAACCAAAAAGAAGAACCAAAAACAAAAGAAAATTGAGAAAATGAATAAGACAAAGCTTGTGGTGGTTGTTAGGAGGACATCCAAGCTTGTAATTAGTCCTCGATCAAATTGTGATTGGATAGATAAGATCTCTTTTGAGCTCTCTGTTAGAAAGCACTCCCCCCTTAAATAAGTCTTACACAACGCGAGTCTAGATTAATTAAGGGCTCAATACAGATATCGAACATCGATGGAAAACCAAAAGGAAGTACAAAAAGACAAAGCAAAATTTAGGAAATGAATAGGACAAAAGAAAGGACATTTTTGCATTCAATTCTTTTTCAAAAGAAAGCAACATCTTGCCAATATATGAGGTCATATCATATCTATGAAAATACAAAAAATAAAAAAAGAAGAAAAATCATACACACCAACTACCTCCCTATTGATTACATTTACTCCACATATTCCTCATAAGTATCATCTACCTTATCATTGAACTTTAACAACTTCTTTGACTTACAATACTGCATCAAAAAGTACCATCCAATCCCTCCAATAGTCATCAATCCACTAATCAAATACACAAGCTTTGTTGCTATAGTCATGATGAATACCAAAAAACCACATGGAACCAAACACATAATCACCAAAAGTGGTAATCTCATTGGCACCCTATAAGGCCTTTTAATCAATGGAAACTTCCTCCTCAACCAAAGAAATGATGCAAATTCCAAAAGCATACCTAAACTATACAAGAAATTTGCACTAGAAATAATATCTTGAAAATTCATATAACTCATCCCAAGTGATATAGTTGTTGACAACACAATCCCAACCCAAGGTGTATTAAACCATTTAGACCTTAGCCCAAAAAACTTAGGTAAAAATGCAATTTCAGCCATACCCAAAATTTGAAATGCTGAACTACTCAATTGAGCTTCAAACAATCCAATGGTAGACAACACAGCACCAATCTCAATCCAAAACTTCAACCACCTCCCTGATATGATCTCCGCGGCGTTAGCCATAAACCCTGTGTCCCAATCGCGTTGGTCCAAGTCTACCGCCCCCGTTACAGCCATAAGTGGTATAATATACCCTAAACAAGTGAACACTACACTAGAAAAAAGTGCTAAAGGAAATGTCTTTCTTGGATTTTCAACTTCACCAGCCATAGTACTAACATTATCCCAAAAATTCAAGTTCCAAAAGAGTGTATTAAAGAACAAGTTCCAATCTTTTTTAACCCCCTTTTGACCTAAACTCAACCATCTATGAGGATGAATCTTTGGTATAGCAATTAATGACATTATGATAAAAGGGGCAAGTGAAATAACCCCAAGTGCAACAGCTACATACCCAACAATTGTTAATCCAGTATAGTTAACAAGTGATAAAAACAAAGTTGAACCAAGAATTGCTAATTTTCTTGGAACCCCAGAATCAAGAATTGGGAAAATTTCTTCTAAATAACTAATACATAAAACAGGGAAAGATGCAATATTTATGACACCAGTAAGGAATTTCCAAGAACCCATTAAAGAACCCCAAAAGGGTCCAAAAGCTTTATCAGCCCAAATAACAAAACCCCCATTACCTGGGAAAGTTGTTGAAAGTTCAGCTGTAATTAGGGCTTCTGGTACACTCCAAATAAAGGGGAAAATTAGAAATCCAAGAATTGCTAGTAAAGGACCAGCTGCTTTAACAGCTGGTTCTTCACCATATGGACCACCAGCTACTTCAAAGTATATGAGGAAGATTAATGGGATAAGGGTAAGTTTGTGGTTTTTTTTTGGGGTGGTGGGGTTGGTGGTTGTTGGGAGGTGTTGTGGTGGTTCTATGGTGGAGGAAGGTGAATCAAGATTTTGTGTCATTTTCTCTTTTTGGTTTTGGAGTGGTGAAATAGTTGACTTTACAAGTTTCTTAGAAGATGGACTAGTAATATAGAAGTACCAAGAGTGGGACAATTTTAAATAGTATGGATGGTGGGATGGATGGTGTTCGAGTCGATTTGTGTGTATTTTAAGGTATAATATATAAATATGTTTTTGAATATGGTGTCAATAGATATTTATGTTTCTTAGTTTTATGTGTGCACAAGTAAACACATGTGTTCTATGTGACATAGTACACATAGGTCATGTAGAACGTGAATTGTCATTTAGGATGTCAAGTAGGACATATGTATCTATTTGTTCAACTTTATACAAGTTACGTAGACTCAAAGTTAGAGGGCATAGTTTTCAGCTGAGGTCAAATTAAATGACATGTTTATGTATGATACCGCATTTTAATTGATTTTACGGGGTGTTTGTTATCTTATATCAACACATTATCTTGTGTATACCTTAACTAATTTTATGAAGTTATCTGTCATTTCTCACTAGCCAGAGTTCAAATAACTATGTCAACATATAAAATGAAATTACTTTTTGTATCCATAAAACTTCATGATTCTCAATTATTATTATTATTATTATTATTATTATTACTACTATTATTATTATTATTATTATTATTATTATTATTATTATTATTATTATTATTATTATTATTATTATTATTATTATTATTATTATTATTATTATTATTATTATTATTATTATTATTATTATTATTATTATTATTATTATTATTATTATTATTATTATTATTATTATTATTATTATTATTATTATTATTATTATTATTATTATTATTATTATTACTACTACTACTACAAAATACATATCATTATTGTCTCAATTTTTTTCTTTTGTATTAATATTAGTATAATTAACTATTTATATTACTACCAACAAGTGTGATGGATCATGGATTGTTTTATTATTATCATGTCTCGAGTTTGAATTTTGAGATTTGTAAAAATAATGAATAGAAAATAATTTTTAAAAACCAATGATATTTAATATCAAATAATTAATCGAGAAATTATTATTATTATAATCATCATCGAATCATTTTTTATTATTTTATGTTTCCAAAAAAAGTTGTTATGGTTTGTATTTTATTTTTAAATATTTGCACATGGTGCTCAATTGGAACCTTCTTGTATAATATTTTCTGCTCAATTTTTTAAAAATTATTATCAAGTGGACCTATGACCTAAGATGAGTAATAACGTGTTTACGTTATTCATTAAATTATTATTATCTATGTGGAAACACAATCTTCAATAATATCAAGACATAAAAAACATGTTTTTTAAATTTTCATTTACTAATTGGTCAAAAGGCTTTACACGTATGCCAAGTGAAAAAAATAATCCTTTGGTAGGTTGAATATTCTTTTTGAAACTGAATAATTAGCTGTCGATAAATTTCTATCGCAACCTTTGCGACATGCTCGTTTCAGAAGGAATTAAGATGTGAATCGATCTCGAATCATACATGTGGATGATCACCCTTCAAATCAACTGAGTCATCTCGAAGAACTTGGATTATATTTTACATAAATATGTCATAATATTTATTTGGATATAAGAATTTTTCGTAAGAGAAATATAAAAAAAAAATATGTTGTTTGTTTTAAAATAAATTAATAAAAAATAAGGTCAAATAAAGTGAAATGGAGGGAATATTAAGTTTAACCACCTAAGTTTCATATGACAAATTGTGTGAATAAATTAACAGCGGAAAAAACAATTCAACAATTAACATGTGAAGGCAAATTTGTTACTTGATAACCACTAAAGTGGGTAAGTTCTTTAAAATATTGTTTTTAGTAATATGCATGTGATGATGTTTGTTTGAATATGAAGTTTAACTAAGTAAGAATTTGTAATAGAAAATAAGTTATAGTTATTTGTGTTGTTGGAAGGTAAAGTGAGTAACAGGACCAATTTATACTTGTCTAGACTACTTTGACATGTTCGTTGAGCAAGTAAAATTTGATCTTGCAGCATATCGAGATGAGTCTCGTTGTATAAAAGAAAATCTTTGATTAGGATGAAATTCGAAGATTTACGAAGGAACACTAGCTATATGCTTAGCACATGCAAACTGAACTCTTACAAAAAAAAATATGTCATAAAGTTTTGTTCTTCATTCTATCATTCCTATTTTTTGCTCTTTTTTCGGTGTATCATTGTGTGATCTGATCAAACTCAAAATTATGTATCTACTTATCGTATTTTTACTCATGCTCTATAATTTTATAGCAGGTTGTTACTACCAATCTTTGAAGAATATTTTTCTAATAATATAAGTTGCTTAAAAATAAAGAATTATTTTCTTAACATAAGTAAAAAAAAAAAAATTTAAAATAAATGACATTAGGCATTCCATATTAATTGTGGCATCGCCTAATAATTTTTTCTTTTTCTTTTATGGTAGATAGAGTAGAACCAAAACCTTGTTTGGAATAATAAAGTAAAAGAGAATAAATAATTGAGGAATATGATCTGTAAAATACCAAACTTATGTCAATAATATCAAAAGTATATGATACTATTCTTAGAATCAATTTATCAGTCAGTTTTTTTAAAATTTTGGAGTCTTCGAACTTTGTAAAGTTGATTTAATGGTTAAGATAAATCGTCGCTCAGTGCAGGATTTAAAGTTTATAAATTTTTATAATGATCTCAAATAAATATAAAGTAGAAAATAGAGTCATAATTACATATTTATAAATATTACACATTAGATTTGTTATTGCCTCGACTAATTTAAATTGCACACAAGATAGACTACCTACTAAGGGGTTAATCATTCTCATGTTTTCAAAACTCGGATTCGATGCATTTAATTAGAAATGAAGAATTCACAATCATCCCATTATATTTATCAGTGGTCTTGTCATACAAATTATTTATTTAAATTTGCATTATTTCCTTTTGATGAAAACACCTTTTTGCTCTTTCTTAAATGAGTAATACCTTGTTGGTTTTGTAAATAATTATTTTAGACTAAATATTTTTAGTTAAAAGTGATAAAATAAAAAGGATCAAAAGGAAGTACTAATTATATTTTGAAGTTTAAGTACTAATTTAAAATTTTCCATTAGCAAATCCTAATGCTAGCTAGCTCAATTAGTGAACACCCTAATTTCCACAAATTTGGTGGAATTAGGTTCAAATGCCCATCATCTTTAAGTGCCCTACTTTTAGTGTTTTAATTAGTGAGAATGTTAATTAAGTGAGATGTTTAAGGAGAGATAAATAATAATTTAGATAATATTATGGAAATTTATTGATTATGTATATTATATGTATATTATAGCTATTGAAATATACAAAACCTATATATTTGCTTGCTTTTTTAAAAAAAAACTAGATCACTCATAGACATTGGATTATAATTATCTCAATAGATTACCCAACGAATGAAATTTTTGCACGAATTGCCCTTATTTCGGTGTGACCTTTAATTTTTTGTGGACCAAAGCACCAGACGTCATTGTGTATGATCTAATTTCTCTGGACATAAATTTAGAGAACTTTCGCCTCGCTCGGCAAATTTTATAAGAATCAAGTTATGCAGCATAAAATGTGTAGTATTTTTATGACCTAATTTCGCTAGACATAAGTTTAGAGAATTATGTTTTACTCGGCATAAGTTATGTAGGACTTAAGTTGTGTATTTTATGACATAATTTGTAGGTTTTGAAACTAAAATTTTCTCTATCAGCAAAAGCTCTACAGGATTTAAGTTATATTATGTCCTTTACTACCTAACTTGTGGATTCCCAACTGAACTTCTACCTCTATCGACATAAGTTTTATAGAACCTAAGCGGCAATGCAGCATAACTCGTGCTATATTATGATGCAAAACTATAAACTTATGTTGAACGAAAATTCTTTGTTATCACGACATCATGAACATTTTCAACCACTTATTTTTACGACAATAAAAATTAAAGACCACCCAAAAATAAGAACATGTGCAAATGACCCAAAAATAATCAAAATAGCCCAAATCCCTTCTTATTGGGCTTTTTTTTTTTAACCATTTGGGCCTCAAAAGATATTTTTAGTTGTTCCATTTCCATACGCTTCTTCTTCTTCTTCTATCAGTCAAATTCAAGAAAAGTTGAATTTTTTGAAGAGAAATTAGCTAAAAATGGAGTCATTATTCATCAAAAATTTGATCGTTGCAACTCAAATTGCTGTCCCAAAGAGTAATTCAATAAACCCAATTCGTATAAGAAGGATTTGCAGCTCTTCTTGGAAAATTCACTTCAAAAAATCAGACTTTCAAGGTACCCTTTTTGTCTCAATTTACGTATCACACTTTCCTTTTTAGTCTGTCTAAAATTACTCTTTTTATTATTAACGAAATGATTTATAGCTGCACATATAGTCTCCGAGTGTTTTAGATCATAAATTTCAAAAGTCTTTCTTTATTGCTACAACAGTTAGTTATGACAATTTGTGTCCTACGTGTTGTCCTACATGTATTATGTCATGTAGGACTCATGTGTTTACTTGTTCAACTTTATACAATTTTAAGTTTCTACGTGCAAAAATGTGAAATAAGTCAAAGTTAAAAGGGCACATTTATGTATTATGTCTTTTTCTTTTTTTTTTGCAACTCTGTTGTTATAACTGTTAGTCTAGTAGTTAGGTTGTTCGGACCCTTCAAAAATATTGTCGTATATATGTTGGATACTTCAAAATGTATTTTTGGAGGACTCGACACAATCTAGAGGGATTTTTGATGAGTCCGAGCAACATAAATGGTTAGAAGCAATTTATATTTGTTTTAATGTGAGATTATGAGCTAACTTTGAATGAGTTGATTGATTTACTGCTAAGCTTTTGCCTATTTGCTTCAGTGTGTTATCAAGGCTATAATGCATACTTTTCCTTGTGATACTAAATAATTGGTATTCCACTTTATCGTAATTTTTTAAAAAGTTTATTTGTCAGTCTATTTGTTATTCATGCTTAAAATTATGAATCTTGGACAATACATACATTTTTTGTATTTTGTTTCTCGATTTTGCGTTTCTTCATTAGAGGCCACAGTTGATTTGCAATTTGCGCTTAAAGCCCCAATAAACCTTTGAGTTTATTTGCATTTTTCCCCTCTGATAACACTGTTGTGTTATTTTGTTTCTTGATATTGGGACACTTTAACATGCTGAGAAAAAAGTAATGTGAACTTTTATGGAAGTTTTGACATGTATAGAAGAGTTTTATGTAGTGCCTAAAAACCTATCAGATGGGCGCGAAGAGCTTTCTCCAAATCCCCTTCACTAGGAAATTATAGCATATATACAAGGTTAAATTTTATATACATTCATACAATGCATATATATAGTAGGTGCTGAATCTTCTTCGTTTCTTTGTGTATTTACTTC